TCGGTATAAACAAATAAAACCGAGGTACAAGTGAACCAGAGCCGAGCTATGTGTTGCACATGAAGGCGTTGGATTAAGTATGACAAAGAAATAATGTTAGCTCGGTCATACTGTTATTCAACCGTGGTAAAACCATCTCACTTAGTTTAAACAATGAGGAGGATGTTGAAGGATAAACATTATCTTTCAGGAGTATGATTCCTAGGAGGACTCTACATGGAGGAATAAGAGTCCTACTAGGATTGTGCTAGGCAAAACTATAAAAGCTCACAACAGAACCTATGTACAGGTAACACAACTTTGATTCTCAAATACGCAGAGTTTTTGTCTATTTGTCTATTTTGCTGATTTAGGTATCGGAGAGGTATTCGGCACACACCCGCCAGCTAGCTCACGTTTGTGTTTTCAGGGAGTAAAGCGACGACGTTTGGAGGAGCGCAAACTTGATCAACAGGATTATACGATAACATTATTTCGTACTCGTACACTTCCTATTTATAAATAATCTCTAGGAAAATTTACCTATAAATGTCATCTTGAGAAACCATAATCAACTAATTAGTTTCATTGATTTTGGTAAGGTGAATTTAATATATTCTCTTAAATGGACGTTTCTGACTTTATTCCATACATATTTAAATTAATTTTTCTGTTTAAAAAGGAAGTTTGGGAACACAAAGCAATTTTTTTGAGATTTTGTTGAGGGAATTTTGAGATTGATTGAAGTGGGGTTCCCGAATATCGAACAGTTGCTCATTACACATTTTTTAACCATATCACAATGTGTTAATAAAAGATTCACACACTTAATGACAATTTTCACAAATAGGGTCAACGCACATGGTGCAAACAACTCGAATTGGTCAGTATCGCATAACTTGTTCACACTAATGCAATCTCACCAAACATGCACTCTCAAAATTGCAGGTTTGCCATCTACTAAAACCTCACAAGTTTGTTTACATCGTATTAAGAACACCATAAAACCCATTAAACTGATTCCGATTCTTTAACAACGCTGGTAGTGAGCACAAATGCCAATCATCCTAGTTCAACAACCAAATTAAGATTTCCAAAGATGTCACATCCGTATATTTTTGCAAAACCACGCCCGATTATCACATGGTTTCACCCAAATGCAACACTCAAACGGTTGGTTCCAAAAACAGACGGACAAATGTGACCCAAGAACAATTATCAAATCACGATGTTGCAAAGACAAAAAGGAATGTACTTGTTCAGAGGGGAATTTATGCCGAACAAATGGGCCGACCTAAATTCCATATGGGGCTTTGACCGTGCAACCAAGTTAACATGAAATGGGCGTTGCGCCAAGCTGAATGAGCATGGATTACGGGCCGAGATGAGTCCACACGTTGGATATGAACCTGGCAAAGGATCTCGACCGAGCTAAGTATGCACAGTGGAGAATGACTGGGCTAAGATGACGAGGGCGACTCTTGACCGAGCTGAGAATCTTAAAGGGCTGCGCGGAGTTCATCTGAGCAATGAGCAAATGATGCTTAACCAAGCAGAACACAGCGGACTGTGCTAGTAGAATTCGTGGGGAGCCAATCGACCAGAGCTAGCTTGGACATGAAGCGGCCTGGGGGTTAACCGGTTGAAATTAGCCCAATTTAAAGTAGCTCGACGGCCATATACTACGTATCCCTATTGGAGTGCGAGGAGGAAAACCCGCCAATAGTACGCGTCAATACCGTTTGGCTGTTTTGTCGATGTTGTTTGGCAGTATTAATGCGCACACATGTAAAAAAAGGAGAGGGCAGTACATCCATGCGTTCAGCAAAGGACGAGCGAGGTAGTGCACACACAATCTTGGATGGCAAGGGAACAGTCTATAAAAGAGGTGAGACTCCACCAAACAAGAGGTTGCAACTTTCCTTACTCAGAGCTACCTTTGCTTTTGTCTTTCTTCTCTCTCTAAAGGTGTTAACTTGATCGTCAGAGGAGTTTTCCGGCAACACACTCGTCCGGTAGCTCACCGTTGTTGTGTTTTCAAACCGAACGACATCATTCGAAGTAAAGGTGCTAACTTGATCGTCAGAGGAGTTTTCCGGCAACACACTCGTCCGGTAGCTCACCGTTGTTGTGTTTTCAAACCGAACGACATCATTCGAAGTAACGCAAGGCTTGAACGAAAGGAGTACGAGAGTGAAAAACATTTACTCCCCGTACACTTGTGTTTGTGACCCATAGCGTATGCTTACCGACGACAGCCCCATTTTCACAGCCGGCATGCCAAAATATGCCCCAATTAGAGAAGCCGTATGCGACTGTGAATGAATATATGATACCAACAATGGGTTCATATTTTGAATTTTGAACCTAGTTTGATGGATTAAAGTGTCAATTTCACAGATTCGAATCTCGCTAGGATCACCTTCAGTGTGATTTTCCCAGTGCGATATGGGAATTTTATTTTTATCTTTATTTTTTTATTTTTTTTGGGGGGGGTATTTAGTTATGTACGAGTAAGAAACCAAATGCCACTACTATATGGGGCCCTAATGGAGGTACAATAACCCTTTAATGTACTTGGGGCAAATGTGCCATTTGACACAAATATGGTCCTGTGTGAATTTGCCAAAACAAACCATTAAATAGGCCTATTAAGTCTGGGCAAATGTATCCTTTCCAAACAAATCGTAAAAGAACGTACAGGACTGGATGGTTCACAAGCTATGCATATGAGATTTATTGTTCAATGTCTCAAAAAATAAAATAAAATTTAAATAATAATATAAACTATTATCTCTCATCTTATCTTCAAATAGTGTCACTTATTATATCCTTACGTTCTGCTTGTTTCGGTAAAAAATGTTTTTTTAAAAAAACATTTCTTATATTTAATTGTATTCTTAAAACTAATATACACTAACGATTGTATTAGTAGTAGTGGTAGTAGCAACAGTGGCGGCGAGATGGAGGTGGTGATAACAGTAGTGGTGTGGTAGTGGCGGTAGTAGTAGTAGTGATGATAGTGATGGTAATGTGATGGCATCGGTAAACTTGGTTGAAAAAATATTTACTTTATTGAACAATGCATTTACTAAAAAAAAAATATTTACTTTATTGAACAATGCATTGTTCAAAAATCAGATTACTAAAAAAAAAAGGTGCCAAAACGACGTCGTTTTGGCACCTCGAGCCATTCGAGCCTCGACAGATTCGGGCTACCTAACGGGACTGTTTGGAGAAAGAGTTTAGAAATTTTTTTGATTTATTTGGTTGTATATTTTGAAAATAGTTTTGGAGTATGGGAGTTTAGAATGATTTGGTATTTTGTTTTAGTTGAGTAGATGTGTGTGAGAAAAAAAGTGATTGAGAAGAAGAGAGGAGAGAGAAAAAGTGATTGATTGATTTGTCGGAGATAGAAAGTTATTTTGAAATTTTTTTTTTTTTCAAAATCACTAAACCAAACAAAATTTTAAAAAATTTTCTCCAAAATTTTGTTTCTCAAAAACAAACTAAACAAGGCCTTAATTTCGTTACCAATCCTAAATGGAAAAATGAAATTTTTAAAAATATTTTGTTCAAATATCAATTTTTTTCCCCTTTCAAATGGCTGACATTTCTAAGAACGTGAGATTCTCATGGTGAAATGGGGGATTCCTACTTACTTTGTTTGAGAATGATCCTATTGAAATAAGGGTAATTTATTTACACATCACTAATATTTTCTATACATACAATTAATAAATTATTTATATTTTAATATTATCTTTCTATGAAATTATTATTAAGGATAACATGGGGTGTATTCTATCCATTTAAAATTTCATATTTAAAAACACAAAATTCTCTTCACACACCATCATTCCTATAGGGTTTAAGATTTTAACATATAAACATTATATTTCTTCATCACTTTACCATTAACATACACTCATGATATCATTTATTATCAATTAGCTCACTTCATTCTCCTCTCCATTATACTTATTTTTCAAACTCAAAACATTATTGCATTTGAAGATTTAGGATTTATGAACATTAAAATCAATTAATTTTGAAGATTTATATGCCATGAATGACACTGAAATGGTTAGTTCTGATATAAATATTGAAAACGTTGATTTAAACATTGAAAATGTTAGTTTATAACTTAGTTTTTTGATTTTTTATTTATCTCGTCCGTATGTTAGGAAATTGAGTTTGTTCGTTGGGTTCGAATAATCAGAGTTGAACTTTACACAATGTTCGATTATTTATGTTTGAATAAAATAATTTTGTTCAAATTATTAAGATTAATCAAATATTAAATGTTTATATATAAAAAATTGAACATTTTAAATTAGTTCGGTTAAAATAAATCAAACTTTTATTCGTTGTTTAGATATAAATTTTTGAACACGTTAATTTTGTTCAACTCTATATTCTTAAACATGAATAATTTGATGAATTTGTAAAATACCGACAATGAAGATTAATACCGGCGACGATGGAGACCGAATGAAACATTCTACCGGCAATCTAAAACGACAAGACAACGAAATGAGACACGACGAGAGTTCAACACCAACTATGAAAATCAACACTGGCAAAGATGGAGGCCGAATGAAACCTCCACTGGCAATGGATATTAAGACCGATGAAGACAGTCTCTGTTTTGAAGATTGTCAAATTTTTGTTGTGTGCAATGATGATGAAAATTTTTTAGTGCGTTTAATGATATATATTCAAATAATTAATAGTGTGTTAATATAGGGTTAGTAATGAAAATTTAAAATGTGAAACAAGATATTTTTTAACCTTAAAAATTATTTTGTGTACCAAATAATGGTATATAATGAGTATTAGTAAAGAAAATGAGTGAGAGTACTAATTAATTCCATTACTAATGATTTGACAGTGCGTCCCACCCACTGCCACAGTGTGTATTGTGCCTTATTTTATTTTTTTTTTATTTTCTTTTCTACCTCATTGGTGGTGGGTTAGAGATACCAAATTAGTGGTATGTAGCAAAATCACCCTTAAAATAAATAATCAAAAATCACACTTTCCTAGAATCATGAAAACTCATAATCACATTCCCATTCCTCTAAAAATTTGTATCATCCAAACTTAGCCATAGGCAAAGGCGGTTATCCTTCTCAAATGAGTCCACAACTCTGCAGCTCTGCTTAAATGCAGCCAAAGCTCTCTCTCTCTCTCTCTCCCCCTCTCTCCCTAACAACGCTAAATTAGCGCTGCAGTTGCCTACTAATGGCAGTGCACAAAGACAAACTTAGAGTACCGACAAGTCCTCAGAACTTTCCCATTAACCACCAATCTCTCTCTCTCTCTCTCCCTTACAAGAGAAGAAAAGAAACGATCTTTTGTGTCATTGAGCTCTGCAACTCTGCCAATTAAGCAAACATCATTCACTTTCACACCATCATGTCTTGCCAACCATTTTAACTCTTTTCCCATTCTATGTATGCACAAGTAGAAACGAGGACCTGCCATTGGCATAAATTCTTAGAATTGCAACACTAACATTTCTATCTAGAAAGAACATGGAGATGGCTTGTTTTTATCTTTCAATCGTAAATAATAATTCACAAACTGAAGGTCATAGCGAAGACGATGCTTTTAATGCTAGCTACAGTTTGATGAATGAAATCATCGACAATTTCTCGAGTAAAGCAGAAAACAGAAGGTTTCATCGACATACTTACGTGTTGAGCAATAAAGAACAGTCGTCATCAGACTCGATAGTGGCTTCAAGTTCAAATCCTGTGTCGGAAATATCATCCATGAATCGCTCTGGAGGTAAGCTTTGTAAGGATAAGGCGCTGATGTATGGTTGTGAAGTCGACAGGCTAAATGACAGATTGAGAACTGTTGAGGAAGAAACTGAAATTATGAAACAAGCTTTCATAGAGAGTATGGAAGAAAGGAAGAAGTTGACGAATGAAATATGTCAGCAATTTCGGGTTATACGCAATGGTCTTCACTCTAGAAAACAAGTAACAGGTGATGAATCCACTCATGGAGTCTTGGTTGTCAATCCTCATCAGGTAAGGCCTTCTTGCTACAACTACTCAACATTGTTATAAACTTCAGAACGAACCTCTTTTGCTTCATTGTTGAGAATCATAAATAAATAAATAGACAAATGAAGTAGAAACTTAAAATCTAACAGATCTCAGTGTTTTCTTTTCTTTTCCTAGAACATCTCCAACAATGAAACAATAATTATATATGGAAATGTACAATTCATGAACTAACCAAAACGATGCAAGGTTGAACGAGGACCCAGGGAAATACTAACTAATTTGAAAGTAAGCCAAATCACACAAATGTCATCTAAGATTCAACTAGGTGGTGAGTTCATCAGAATTTCATACATAAATTCAGGCATTACACCTGTTGAAAGTCCTCTTCAAATGTAGCTCAGAATATTATGATTGTGCTACCAGTTTTAGTATTTAAATTCTTCGATCATTTCATATTCTAAAACTGATCGTGACATGTTTATTTTACAAATAGAACAGAGGAAGAGGAGGAGGAACTGGTCTTGGTCTGTCTCAGGTATTACACCAGCAATCCAATCCATCAATTGTCTTCAGAGACCTAAGAGCTACAATGGAAGCATTTGAGGAACCTGCTGATACATATGATTTCTCAAATAGATGATTATTTGTTCTAGTAAACATTGTGTCAGTGTGTGCAACCACAGCATGCATCTCTTTTCTTCTACAAATTTTTTGTAATGGTTATGACCGCTTCTATGTTCTCTAGTATGAAATGAGTTCTTGAGTAAATCTTTCTAAGAGCATTTTCTCAGTAAACAACCATAATTGCACAGCATACTTTGCTTTTCCATTGTGTAATCCATGTGAAAGGATTCAAATTTAAAGGTAACCCAACCAAGATTTTAAATTTAACTGCCATTGAGTCAAAATCATCATTCTACTATTCAGTATCAAAAAAACAGACAGTAAAGTTATTTTTAATCTACTTATACAAGGATAAATAAATCACATACCAGACTGGTAATGGCGTGAAAGCATTGAAGCACATATCACATTTCCCCTCTATAACCTCCTGATCCAAAATAATCCCTCCTAGAGCTAGCAATTGCCTGGCTTTTCTGATGCTCTAACTTCGGGCAATCACGGATCCTGTGCCCAAGTCCACCACAGTAGCCACAGCCTTTAACTCCACTAGCATTGGTGATTGCATCAACATCTTCCATGGGATCATTAAGCTCGGCCAAAACTGGTGGTATTCTCTGCTTTGCTTCTTGCAACAAGTGCTTCAAGTCAAGAAGTGTCGTCTCACTTTGATTCTTGTTAATGAACGTTGTAGCTATTCCTGTCTTGCCACATCTTCCTGTTCGTCCAATCCTATGGACATAATTCTCAATTTCAGCAGGCATATCATAATTGATAACATGCTGAATGTCTGGAAAATCCAAACCCTTTGAGGCGACATCTGTCGCAACCAAGACATCTTTCTTGCCTGCTTTGAAGGACGAAATGGCATATTCTCTCTCCTCTTGATCCTTGCCTCCATGAATTGCAACTGCTTCAACTCCTTTCAAAAGAAGATATTCATGAATATCATCCACATCAGCTTTGTTCTCACAGAATATCAAAACTGGAGGAGGGGTCTTTTGCAAGCATTCAAGAAGGTAAACAATCTTTGCTTCTTGCTTCACATATTCCACCTCTTGAATCACATCGAGATTTGCTGCTCCAGCCCTTCCCACGTTAACTGTAACAGGTTTAACTAGAGCACTTCTAGCAAAATTTTGAATCTTTGTGGGCATGGTGGCAGAAAATAAAAGGGTCTGTCTTTGAGCTTTGAAGTGATCAAACACTTCTCTTATGTCATCTTCAAAACCCAGGTCCACCAATCTATCTGCCTCATCTAGCGTTAAATACCTGTAGAAGAAGCAATATTGTAAAGACCATAACATGGAAATAAGTACAATGTAGTTCAAACATAAGATTATAAAGTAAGAAATACATTGCCAACCATCATATCAAACACGCTTGCAAGCCTGGCACACAGGCATATTATATCATGTTAATTGATAATCAGTTGTCAACTTTCAGTTTCACATTGCTTTGCTAGCAATTAAAAAAATGCATCACCAGCACGCAAAATTGTGTCGGTAAGCATCAGACTTCCAACTATACATCCTGATTGACAATTCAATGCAAAATGAAAATATAAAGTTTGTGAAAATGTGTGAGCCACTAGGAAGCACGGATAGGGATACAATACAGATACAGCGATACGATAGAGTACGGCTAGGATACGTTTGTAAAAAAAATATTTTTAAAAAAAATTATTAGTGAGTTACACATAAACTCAAAAATGTTCAGAAACTACAATGTAATTTTATAATGCAAAATACTAGCCTTCAAAAACTAATTTAAGCCAGCAGATAGTTTACTTTTTAAATTTTCAATCAATCTTGCAAATATTTCATTTCAATATCAAGTCTAATATGTTAATATTATAATAACAGAACAATTCACAATTTGTCATGTGCTTTTCCCTTTTAAACTAGTAAAAAATATTCTATTCAAGTTTACTTATTTATTTATTAATATTTAATTTTATTATTGTTATATTCTAATGTTAATCCTTACTTTCTATGCAATTACAAGGGACATGCATAAAACAATAAAAATACCTCAATTTGATAAATTTTATTACTTTAGCTCAATATGTTCTTCTTACAAAAGAACTAAACAAAGTATTATTTTACTTTCATTTTTTTTGATTGGCACCGGGGTATCCAAATCAAAACTCGACTAATCCCCAAGGTAAATAGGCCCTCAGCAAGGAGTTTCCTACAAGTGCACCACGATTAATTCAAGAGTTTTTCCCCAGTCCGATGGCCCAAGAAATTATTAGCATCTAAGAGGTTCAATCCATGAACCTTGGAGGGAGCACACAGTCAAGACCCAAGGCCTTGCCACCAAGCCAACCTCTTGGGGTTAACTAAACAAAATACTATTAAATATTCTTGTATTTATTCTTGCAATGTATTATATTATATTATAATGCTACACATACCATTCTAATTTCATAAAAGAAGTAATACGTGACTTGGAGTATCCAATACTCTAAAATTAAATATTTGATACTCCAAAATTAATAAAAATTAATTACAGTGTATCCGATACGGATACTTCTCCCTTTTTTTAAGAATTTGTGCTTCATAGGTGAACCATAATCTAAACACGCAAGATTAAACAACAAATTTAAAGTAAGAAATTCAAATAATATGAAATGTCAAGCATCAACCAGAAGACATAATTCAAACTCACAAAATTCAAGTAGATAGCTTTTTACCCTATTGTTTTAGACAAATTGATGCAGAATGTACAGTTCCAATATTCAGCTCACACGCAGCAACTTTCCATCACATGGAGACTTAATTTACAATTATATTAATTAATAATAATGTCATCTATTATTTAATCTTTAGTTTTCTTATTATTTTAGTTTTCCTATTTTATAAAAGTTCCTAGTTTCCTATTTTATTAGAATTATTAGCCTATAAATAATAAGCTTTGACATTGTAATCGGTAGCCTTGAATTAATGAATTTGAGAGTTGTTCAAGGCTGTGACCTTTGCACGATTACGGTTATGGCCATTGTGTGCTTCTCTCCCTCTTCTCTCTCCTATTCTACCTCCCAGTTCTACATCACAAACTGTGCACACGACATCTCACAAGCTGAATATGCTTAAATGTTTATTGAAAGATAAGAACACACCAATTTTTTCTTAACCTGATACCCTATGAGGATATTGCTATGAATACAACAAATTCTAGTCATATTTCAGTGGCACAGAGAAAGTCAAACAGAAAAAGAAAGGAAGACTCAGATTATTGACATAAGCCAATATCTCAAAACAGGTGGTTGCATGATCCATATAAATTATAGTTGCCAGACAAAAATATTTGAGATTATTGCCATATAACATGATTTTCAGCAAAATTGGATTGAGAAGTGTTTACCTGCAATTGTCAAGGCTCATCTTCTTCTTCGCAAGCATGTCCTTCAACCTTCCAGGGGTGGCAACAACGATATGCACACCTTTCTTCACAATCTCCAATTGTGACCGCATATCAACCCCACCAATGCAAAGCAATGGTCTCAATTCCGGAAAGCCATACTCCTTCATTGGAATTAAAAATTCCTCCACAACCTCATAAGTCTGCCTAGCAAGCTCCCTAGATGGGCAAATTATCAATCCAAATGGCCCTTCCCCGGGAACAATCGGCATCATCAACTCTTCTTGCAATGCCACCATGATCAACGGCAGCACAAAAACCAATGTTTTACCAGAACCTGTAAATGCAATCCCTATCATATCCCTTCCTGACAAGATAACAGGAAGTCCCTGCACTTGAATAGGTGTTGGTTGTACAATTCCCTTCGCTTTCAACTTGCTCAAAATTGGATCCGGAAACCTCATTTCCTTAAAATTTTTGATCGGTGGGGGGATATCTTCACCATCAACGATAATATGCCATTGCTTTCGAATGGAATCACAATCTTTCGTCGACATCCTTCTAATTCTCAAAGGTGGCTTCCATCCTGTCAACAATGGCTCTTTATAAGTTATCCCTTTCGCAAGTTCACGGACAGACATCAATGTCTTCCGATCTGACAAGTGTTCGATCATTTCCTTCTCCTGTTGCACAATTTGTTCGGTGGGACTAATCTCCGGCTGGTCACGCTTAAGCTGAGTGGCCTTGACAAGCAAACTGGGTTTTGCTTCAGCAAGTTTTGACTTCTCAGTTTCATCTTCAAATGCCGAGGATTTTCCTTTCCGCTGAAGAATCTTCTGTGCTTCCATTGCTCTACGTTTGGCCACTGGAATGTATTCCTCATAATCATCCTCTTCCTCCATTTCCTGCAATTACCAAATGACATTTTAAAGTCATGAAGGATTGGAAGAAGTAAGTGCAACTCCAACCATGCTCTTTATTTTTCGCTAGCTAAAGTACAAAAATAGTACACTCTTAATTTTATCTAATTGCTTTAGCTATTGTGTTCTCCAACCACTCTCTTTATTTTAGCTAATCATTCAAACTAACTTAACCAATTTTTAAAACAAAAAATACTAATTGTTGATATTATACTAATGTAAATTTGCAATATTTCTTTAACATGTTTTAAAAATATATATGTTTAACAAATATTTTTTTTGTTAAAAATATTTTTTTTTTTAGAACAAAGCAAAACATATATATTAACTAATAGGAAAATTGTTTACATCTTTAGCAATCAAATAAACTGACATGTATGTTACAAGCATACAAAATTTGTGGAATGATATGGAGCGGGAGAAAATATATATATAGAACATAAAGGAAGTTCTTTAATAATTTATCAATTTCAGAACTGAAAGAATACAAATTAACTAAGCAAAAACCTTACAAAGGTCAAGGAACAAACTGGGGAAGGGGGAAAATCACAAATAGTAAAGTCGGCAATAAACTTCAAAATAAATAAACTATATCTAACACAGAAAGTTTTTACAAATCTCCATGTTGATGCCACAAATGTTCAATTAGGTCTGCTTGGAGTTTAGAATGGGCTTGTCTATCTCTAATGCGATGGTGATTTTGAATGAATTCATAAAGTTCAGATGTGCGCTCGTGTGACACAGATAAAGGACTTTCATCAATTGCATCATAATTGCAGTCTATATTATTGACATTCCGCTCATCCTCAATGATCATGTTATGCACTATTATGCATGCCTTCATAATATCTTTTAGGGTTTCACGTTTTCCAAAAACATGCAGGTCCTCGCACAATTGCAAAACGTGCTTGGAGCACTCCAAATGCTCGTTCAACATCATTACTTCAGATTCAATATGAAACTTTAATCCAAATTAAATAGCAATCACAATATAAATTAATGTCACAAATTCCTCACATACACATCCTATTGATCAATCCAAATTCAGCATTTATTTAACTGCATAAATATAAATGAAGGGACATGGTGATTCAAAAAGTGAAAGCTTTCTTGCACTAATTCTTTCATTACTTCAAACTCTACAAAAACGAAGCCCTATCGTTGCTATGATTTCAAAGCTTCCAAGGCTGTGTTGGTTTGCTGGGAGGGAAAGGGTTAGGGGAGAGGAGGGAAGGGTAAGGCCATGGTTGGGTGGAAGGAGCAAAGCTGAGGAGGGGTTCTTTAACCCACATGTTACAACAAATTCCACTTCAAATTAAAATTTCAAACATAAAAAGAGGTTAAATATGTTCTCCTACGCACTAAAAATATTCCTAAGAAAATTGAAATTTACAAAAAAAATTAATTAATTTTCAAATACTGAACTTAAGCACAAATTTCAACTTCTGAACCATTTGGAATTACTACTAGGCAATCTACATGGCGCTTAAATCCTATAAGTTGTTCTATAAGAAATAACTATAAATCAAACCTACATATAAAGAGAGACCACACAAATACATGGTGTCCTCAACTCGTAGTGCCTTCTATGGAGATTGAATTTGGATTGAGTTATGGTTCAAAAAGTTCAATAGCTCAAAAAACTATATATGCAAGACAGAAAGTGCAATTCCATACTATTTATTCATTATTTTGCAAAACATTGCAATGTACTGGGAAAACAATTTCACGGCCAAGAACAAAAGAGGGTCAATTTTTCTCCCAAAATGAGTTTTCTAAAATGGAAACGCATGAAGATGGGATTGCCCTAATAAATTTTAACACACACACACACAGGAGAACCTCACGACGAATGAACAAATAGTTCAAAAGTAAGAGTTGGAATTTCAAGCTTGTAACTCAAATCAAGTTTCTTCTTTTTTTCTGAGAAAAAAATCAAGCTTAGTCTAAAAATCTTGCATAAAAAGAATACAATATATTGAGAATCTAAGCATGAAAGTATCACAAAATTTTGAAATAAAAGACGTAAAACCCAAAAAACTAAACAACAAATAAATAAAAAAAGAAATAAATAGTCTAAAATAAATAGTTGTTGTATGTTATATGCTCCTAAATCAATATTAGAATCAAACACTATTGTGAAAATGATCAAAGAACACAGAGTTTGTTAACTGCAATCCAAAGCCTCGACAAAGAAAGAAAATTACATTATGGCATTTAAAAACAAAAACTCTAACCAACTTAATTCTCTCACCCTTTACAAAGCAAAAGCGACACAACCTAGAAAAAAACCCCAACAAATTTGGATCAAATCCCCTATTCCAGCTTTGCAATGAAAATTTTGACTAATAACCAAATTAATAAAATTAGCTGAATCCAAATCTCTTAGAGATCCAAGAGAAATACCTCCAGATGACGGAAGGCTCTACAGAGAGAGAGAGAGAGAGAGAGAGAGAGAGGTTGTTGCTGTAAAAATCAATCACATACAAGGAGTGTTTCAGAATAGAACCCTACACACACATACACACACACACACACACACACATATATTCTCTTGATTTCATTAATTAATCATGCCGAAAGGGGGTCACAGGGAGGGAAATAAGGGGTTTGGGAAGAGGGTTTCACCTGGTGGTACAGAAGTAAGGGAGTTGCAGAGAGGGGTAAAAGAAGGGGAAGAAGAGATAGATTGAGAAGATACATACCTTGCAGAAGAAGAGAGCTGCAATATGTGAATGATGGAGTCGCAAAGACGTGAACGGTAACGATTTCGCGGGAAAAAGGGTTTCGGTAGGATTTGGAGAGTGATTCAGTGCTCTTCAAAGGTAGCCAGCGGGTAAGATTGATGGTAAAGTAGCCAATGTTTTAGCTAGCCCGTTAGAGGGCTCAACATGAGCTGTGGTTGGCTAAAGTGCCTAACAGGCCTCTTTGTGACAAATGCCTAAAATGCCAAAGGTAGCCAGCGGGTAAGATTCATGTTTGTATAAGTAAGAAAGTATTTATGTGATATAGGGATACGAACTATGACGCAGAGGAAAAATTATCACATTGGTCCACCCCATATCCTACATGTATGCCCTTGCAATTCTATTTGTTACATACCCATTAGAGCAACTCTAACCACACTCTTTATTTTTCACTAGCTAAAGTTCAAAAAAAGGACACTCCTTATTTTACCTAATTAGTTTAGCTATTGTGAGTTCCAACCATACTCTTTATTTTAACTAGTCATTCAAACAAACTTAACCAATATATATTACTGTCTTTTTCATAGAATGCCACATACGCACCAAACGCTAATATGCTTGCTAATGTGACATTTGCGATAATATTTTTTTTTTAAATATTTTTTAATATTAGTTTTAAAAATATTATAAAAAATAATTTTAAGTAATATTTAATTTTTTTTATAAATTTATAGTATGTGAATATATACCAACATATGAATTTTGTGGAACCATCTTGAAGGGGAAGGGAGGGGAAGAATAAAAGAAAACAATAAAGAATTTTTAAAAAAAAATAACAATACAAAGGAAGTTCTTCAATAATTGTAATTTATCAAATTAAGAACTGAAAGAACACAAATTAACTAATCAAAAACCTTATGAAGGTCAATGAATAAAATAAGAAAAAAAAAATCATAAATAGCAAAGTTAGGAATAAACTTCAAATTAAATAAATTATTTCTAATTCCAATTGTTACAAATCTCCATGTAGATGCCACAAATGCTCAACTAGGTCTCCTTGGAGTTTAGAATGAGTTTGTCTTTTTCAGTCTTTTCACTTTGATTCAACCTTTGGATTTAGGCAAAGCAGCCACTGAACTTATTCGTGGCAAGTTGAATCGCTAACCAACAATTCATTAAAGAAGTTTGACTACGATTAGATGAAAACGTTTTGAACTGGTGGAAATACTCCCACACTCTTAGCCAATATGCCTTTGATTTTTGTTCATTCCCTTGCACTGGATCTAAGCTAATGTTAAGCCATGTCGATATGAGCACATTGTCTTCTTCTGTAGTGAAGTTGCCACCTCGTTGTGATTTCTTGGTGGTTTCTATTTGAGGAGAGATTGGGGAAGACTGATCCCCTTGGTCAAGAGGTTCATCCATAATTTCATAGTCAGTCCCATCATTCATCAAGTTGGTGAAATATGCATCATTTTGTCATTGATTCATCTTTAGACAAGGTAAAGAAAATTATGGCAACATATATTGGGTTCGAGAAATGACTAAGATTCCCAGTTGGAAGCAAATTAATTAATAAATGGAGATCGTGTAAATTAAAACACTAGTTGTTTTGTTGAAAATGATTCAATGATAATTTTAGATAAATAAATGGAGATAATGTAAATTCAATGAAAAATGATTCCATGATAGTTGCAACCAATTCTCTAATGATATATAACAAGAGCTAACATTCTGCTTCCAATGAAGAATTCTGCTACAATTAAAGCTAGAATCCCAAGTTTGCAACCAACTCTCTAATGATATATAACAAGAGCTCTAATTACGCTAACATTTTATCAAGCCTATATATTATAAAATTCATATACATTTCATGCTTATTCCCACATTGTTTGGGATCTTCAATGTAGATCAGGTGAATGTTATCATCACAAGAAAACTAAACTCCCAATATATAATCATATAATATTACACATAGAAATATTAATTTATTAGCAAAGCCTGCAACAACAAATGCACACTTCCAAAGAGAACCAAATCTAATCTTGGAACATATATTTGTTTTTAATCTCTGTTATTTTTTATGACTAACATGAACACCCAAACTGCTAAAAACTTTTGCAAGTGCACACTACACAGAAAAAGCTGCAACAATGGTTACAAATTTTATGTTATTTGCTTTATGAAATACTGCAGCATTGTTTAGTAGTCTAGGCAAACTCATTTTCCTTGTACAGGCATTGGATACGATGAAGAAAGCAGGTTCAAGTTTCCCAAAAGATGATGCCAAAAGATTGGAGGAAGAAGTGAGTTAAATAATGAATAACTACTGAAGAAACACTAGATGGTTTTTTAAGGATTGTGCTCATACCTGATGCTTGTTAATTTCCCTAGGTTGGTGAATTGACTAAGAAGTTTATCAAGTCAGCAGAGGATATGTGCAAGGCGAAGGAAAAGGAGATCACTGCAGGCTGAGTGGTGGCTTGTCGATATTCCAAATATTTCCATTAGCGCCGTTTTGTTTTCATTTTGAAGGCTCAAGTTCCATAGTTGAGAATTTTTAATGTATCTAAACAATTTTAGGGATTGGAAACCACCATGATCAAGGTGAGTCTACGTTCTGAGAATGACAAGAAGATTTAATGTGTGAAAAAGAACCATCACAATTCCATATTGACAATAGCTTTGAAATGATAATGGGAATTCAAGGCCTCCTTATTCTGAGGTTCTTGAAGTTCTTCCAATTGGAAGTGTATTCATCGCATGTCTTTGTGATGTTTGAAACTGAAAATGATAAATGGTTCAACCCTTTTGGTAAAGAGACAGATGTCGTTAAACTAGGCAGAAAGAATTGATCTGGTTTGAATTCTACCCATTTTATTAAATCATATTTGGAGGCCTCATTATGACTAGGGGACAATTTATTGGGTAAAAAGCAGATCTCAAGTTTAGTTCCTGCTTTTGAGCAGACATCAATTTTGTATCATTATTGGTTCTTGGATCAATTGTTTGTGTTCCAATTCTATTTTTCTTTGTTTATTTGGACGAACCCAAGTCTAACTCAAATTGATGTAGTTGATCTTGAACAGCCAAGCTTTGGACAAAGTCAGTATCAATTAAAATTTGAACTTGGGCAGATCTCTCTGTTTTTTGGGGCTGGACTTGGAACAATTTGTTCCAAGTTGCAGCACTAATCTTGGTAATAACAAAAATTGGTTCAACAGAAATTGGCATGGGGGACCTTAGGCCTATCAGAAACAAAATTCACTTGTCTGACAGCCTCCTCATCATCATCATTCATCCATTTTCAACTTTGTTCACAGACATGATCTGTGGTATTCTTGAAGGGAGTATCTTCTCCATCCATATTCAATATAACCTTTTGTCAGGTTGAACCTCCCCTTACAGTTCCCATCATGGGTCTTATATATTATTCAAGGTGGGTCCATAAGAACATGTGGAGTTTTTAACTAGAAAAATTCATGTGCTCCTTGGCAATGCATTCCTCAATTGTTGGATTTATTCTATGATTTAATTTGTTTAATTCAGGAAATGGGAGAAATAGTCTTTGTTTAGGAATTTGCTAGTTCCCCCTTCTTGTCCACCAATCAACACCCAGTCATTTGGGCCAGGGATGATTCTTTTAAATCATTTGTTACCTCAACTTTATTGTTTTGCTTAAAGGTTACTCAAACAATGCAGGTCACTTTCTTTTATAACTTTCCAACTCTTGAATGTTGGCTGGCAGCTTATTACCTGACCTTCTCAATAATGTGATAGCAACATAAGAAGCATAAAAAACAAACAGAGAAAGATGGATGTGTAGACACCCCATTTTTGACCGCCCTTAAGACTTGGGTCAGGAAATGGGAGAAATAGTCTTTGTTTAGGAATTTGCTAGTTCCCCCTTCTTGTCCACCAATCAACACCCAGTCATTTGGGCCAGGGATGATTCTTTTAAATCATTTGTTACCTCAACTTTATTGTTTTGCTTAAAGGTTACTCAAACAATGCAGGTCACTTTCTTTTATAACTTTCCAACTCTTGAATGTTGGTTGGCAGCTTATTACCTGACCTTCTCAATAATGTGATAGCAACATAAGAAGCATAAAAAACAAACAGAGAAAGATGGATGCAATCACGATTTTAGAAATGCCATCAGCCTCCCTTCTGTCTACTAAATGGATTAGAGGGTTTGGATAAACAAAAAAACTAAAAACTAATAATTCGTCTTAAGATAATTGAATTTAGAAAAAAAATCAGATTTAAACCAATTAAAATCAGCAATGTTTCCACATAGATGAATCTAAACAACTATAGCAGCAGCATACAAGACTACCAATCTCAGATACATACATGTAAAAAACAAAGAAAAGAACATGCAAAGAATGAACACAGATAGGGGTTTCAATTTTCAAAAATAGGTATGATTTGATTCCAATTGAGAATAATATTGGTTCATTGATAGATTTACTATGGTATTCTTTTTTTTACAAAAGAATCACAATAAGACTTGGTCCAACCAATCAATTCACTATAAAGAATAAAATACAAGTTATTATGACTTGAGAATCAGTTGTAACCAAATTCACGATGTCTAATCAACGAACTAGCTGACGTACTTCTATTGAATCCACGAGCTCTAATAGAGTCTCAGCTGAAACTGTCCCTAGTTTTGTTGTAATTTTTGGAACCTTAGAGAATTGTGGAAGTTGCAGCACCTTCTTTAGAGTTTTTGATCAGCAGCAAGTCATTATCTAGCAATTATTTTGTGTAATAATGATCGACTAGATTTCCATATTACAACTCTGAAATTTCCTTAAATCATTAATACTGAATTTTTTTTTTCTTTTTTAACTAAGTCTAATTTACCAGAATTTTTGCAGATCACTAAGATGTGAAAGTTAAAAGTTTTGCCACCACTCCCTATTGTATTCTTCAAAGTACCAAAAAAAAAAAACATTTTATTTTAATTCTATAATTCCAAACACAACTTAAATTTTTAAAAAAATTTATTAACAAGAGTCTTTAAAATATATGTTAAGAAGCTGAAAATAAAATGTGCTTAACATGTCACATGTTAAAAAGACACATTCTTTAAATCATTAATGGTCCTTGCAATTATTTGAGTTTTATTCACAATGATTGTTCAACAGTAATTTTTCACTTCCTTTAGTTTTGTCCCCCTCTTTTGGTGGAACAGGGGACTGAGGTGCCCATTCGCAATTGATATCATCAAAGATCCATTTCATAACACCAACAATTGCAATAATATCTTTCTAATAATTTTACAGTAATTAAGATTATTGTAAGATTATCCATTTAAATCACTGTTGACTATATTTTAGACTAACCAGCTACTTAAATTGCATGAGTTCAATTACAGATTAAAAAATAGGAACACATCAAAAACTAACAATGATCATTGAAAGTAAAATTCACCAATGATTTGCAGGTTACATGGCCAACATTGGTTTATGAAATTCAGGACATAAACATTCAAAGTTTATGACATAAACAAAAAAGTAAAAACTAATAATACGTCTTAAGATAATTAAATTTAGAAAAAAAAAAATCAGATTTAAATCAATTAAAATCAACAATGTTTTCACATATATGAATCTAAACAACTATAGCAGCAGCATACAAGACTACCAATCTCAGATACATACATGTGAAAAACAAATAAAAGAACATGCAGAGAATGAACACAGATAAGGGTTTCAATTTTGGGTTTCGCAGATATGGGAGGGGAAGAGTTGAAAAGAGAGAGAGAGAGAGGGTTTATGAGTTGCATAGAAGGGGAAGACAGAGAGATAGAAGGATCCATACCTTGAGGAAGAGGTCAAATGGAGGGAGTTGCAGACAACGCTGAAGGAGAAGATCGATTTCGCGCTGAAGGAGCAGATTGATTTCGCGGGAGAGACGTGTTTGGAGAAGGAGCAGATCGATTTCGCGGGAGAGACGAGTTTGGAGAGCCTTCAATCACTCTCCAATTGAAGCCAGCGGAAAAGGGGCGAGGGAAAATAGGCAGCACTTTAGCCAGCCCATTGGAGTGAGAATTTAAGATAGTATTAGCTAAAATGGCTAACAGGACTTGTATACCTCTTCCCTTGGAGTTGCTCTTATTACCTATTTTTTCTCAATAGAATTGGAAGTACACACAGCCTACTTGGAATTCATGGAAGACAGGATAATTCCTCGAAGCGCGGGTGTGGGGTGCGGCTAACGATATCGCCAATATGGTAAACCCCAAAAGAAAATAAGAAAATTGTTTAAGAGCTCTAAAACAATGAGCTCTAATAGCTCTAAATACACTATAGCTCCAATTGATTTGATGTTTTGCTCTTTGTTTTTTTTTTGAAAAATGAGTAAGAGCAATAATTAGTGCTATCACTAATGATGTGACAGTGGGCTCCACCATGAATGATTTGATGTTTTGGCTTTGGTGCTATATTTTTTTTCTTTTTTTATTGAATGTCATGTCATTAGTGGTCTTTTTAAAGCTCCAAAATTAGTGGTCTCTATCATTGTTGCTTTTTTTTTTTTTAATTTCGTGCACTGCCAGCTCATTAGAGTGGCTTAGTGCTCTCTTTTTAGTGGTATGTATCACCACTGAGAAAATAAATTATGGGTACGACTGGGCCAATACAGAAAATATGTAAACAAATTTTGTTTAATACAACAGTTTCAACTAAAATAAAATAAAATAAAATAAAAAAATTTGAACAAATCATATAAGAATGAAAATTTGATAGAAAGATAGACATGGAGTATAAGAATACAAAACAAAGCCCCAATTTTTTTTAGGCAAATACATCGAGTCGGTTTTGTTTCAGAATTTAAAACAAAATCCTAAATTGTTTGAAATCAAAACAAAGCGCTATTTTTTTAAAGCAAATCAACACAACACCTTTAGAGAGAGAGAGAGAGAGTATGTACCAGAATGAAGTGTGAGAGAGAATCAATCGGGTCTGGGAGTGAAAAGTAGCTGCTGGATATAAGCCTACGACCGTCAATAGAGAAGGATAATTTTCTGGCGATTTAAGGCTATGGCTGAACGATTGAGAGTTCGAGAAAAAAAATCGAAGTAAAAAAAAATCACGATTTCCCACACTGAATCAAATTGATAAAAAAAAATAAAATAAAAATAAAAATCGAAGAAGAAGAAGAAGAAGAACAAGAGCAAGAAAAGGATTTGAGAAAACTCACCAGAATATTTGAGTTTCGTCTTCGAACAATTGAGAATGGAGAGGTAGCGATGAATGCAGAAAATTTACCTATTGCTGTGAACCTAATTTGATAACAGTTTGGAGGGTATGATAGGATTAATGGGTGGAATAAGACTTATATTTGTTGTTTGGTTTTCTAATTTTACTTTCGACTAATAGTTTAGCTTCAAATGTCTTGGATTATTATGTCTCCTGGGTGGGACTGAGGGGTAAAAGAATTGGAAAATGATACGGACTCAAATAACTTATTAGATTTTTTATTAAAATTTGTATATGGGTATGGAAGTTATACAAATTTACATGTGTCGGTTTCACACCTATGTGAAAGATTTGATAGAAAATTTGATATATTATTTGAGATTTCTAACAATACTCTATAAAATCAGGTGGTGAAATAAATATTTTGACCCTTCACTATTTAATTATATATTATATTTAGTAAAATTTAATAAAATTTAAATATCTTAATTTAAAAATAAAATTATTTTATTTAATTTTTATTGATGTTTTATTTATTTAACTTTTAAAAATAATTTTTTATTTATGTTTTATTTTAAAATTTTGTTTATATTTTATTTAATATTATTATTTAAATTTTAATAGATGTTTTATTTAATTTCATTATTTAATTATTATTATTTTTTAAAATAAATTTATTTAAAATTTTAATTAAAAATTAACATATATTTTTAATTAAAAATTAACATATATTTTTATTGATATTTTATTTATTTACTTTATTTAATTTTTAAAAAATAAATTTATTTAATTGTGTAAAAACTAAAATAAAATAAATTTTTATTTAATCTAGCTAAAAATAATTAAAATATTAAAGATATATTTAATATTGCTATTACTTAGTAAATAATTAAAAAGGGTAAAATAGTCATTTGAGTATTTATTTTTCTCTATAATATCTCAAACAAACATATGATTCATATCATATCCAACCAAATAGTTATTTCCTGACATCTAATCTCAGGACTAAACAAACATGGGATACATATCCTATCCAACCAAATAGTCCTCTGATGGATTCTAATCCCTATTTATCCAGTCCATCCAAACAAATACACCCGTAGTGTATAATTTGGGAAAAGTCCACAATGTGCACTTTTTAAAGGGATATGATATGTACTTACCGTTCATATTTTGTCACATTATAAAAAATATCTACTAAGGCCATCTCTAATGGTTTATCAAAAATTTCATCAAATATGAGTAAAAATATGACCAATTCCTCTATCTAATATCAACCACTCCAATGGTAAACTACTGTAGCTTTCATCAAAACGCAGGATGTTTGGGAAACGATCGACCTGTCAAATGACAAGAACAAAATGAATTTTTTTTTCCCCTCCTCCATTTCTGTTTCCCTCATTTCCTTTGCCATTTCTTTTTGCCTCCATTAATTATTTCCTTCAAAAAATAGATATAAACAGATTAACTCATGTACTATATAAACCAAACAAACAACGTTGTATCTGGAACCAACTATAATTGAAAAACATAACATAATGACTAGCTCAATTTCTTATTTGTTCACTTCATTTTCATCTTCTTCTTCTTTCTCATCCTTTGATGATGAATCTGATGATGAAAAAATTGTGAAGCTTCTGAATGTTTATAAGATAAATAATGCTAGTATGATACTATAGCGATCCTAATTTTCTTAAGTCATTATTTATTATTATTACGATTATTATTATCTTATTTTATTTTTGACTTTATTAATTGCGTGGTCACATGAGAATTTAATGTGAAATTTAATTAATTTAATGTGATATTTAATTATATATAATTAATTTAAATATTTATATATATTGATATTTTATATATATATAAATGGGTCCACTGGCCTGCACCTGGTACCTCCTCTATGTGTTTGTGTTACTTGGTACCATTTTTTGTTTGCATAATTGTATATGTCAAGTAGAGTAAAATTCATTCACTTTGCATAATTGTATATGTTCAAACAAAAAAATGGTTACAAATGGGTCCACTGGCCTGCACCTGGTACCTCCTCTTTGTGTTTGTATCGCATGTTTAATCCATACTATACAATTGAATAATATTAGAAAAATAAAGGTTGTGTTTGGTAGAGTTTTTTAAATATGATTTGAGAATATGATTTGTATTTTGAGTTTGTGAGTTTTAAAATTGTGAGTTTTGGAATTATGATTTAAGTGTAGAAAATTTGTTTAGTGAATGAGTTTTGAAATGAATTTTGAAAAGAGTTTTTGAATTAAGTGATGTGACATAATTTTTTATACAAAAACTTACAACTCATAACTAAACACACAATTCAAAATTCTATTCAAAACTCATAAAAAAAATTTAAAAAAATTGAAAATATTTTTTATTTAAAATATAAAAATAAGAAGTGCAAAAAATAAATAAATAAATAAAATTCAAGAACACTGTTTTGGTCAACCGGCCAGACGTTCGGAGGGACATCCGGGAACACGAATTTTCAAACACGGGTGTGGAAATGTGTTTTGAAAACTGTAAATAAACGCCGCTCTCAAACTAAAAGGTAGAATCATGATTCAAAAACTATACCAAACACAGCCAAAAAGAGCGCGTTGTGTGTGTGGCGTGAAAACAGAGAGACGGCGGCAAGAGGAGAAAGAGGAGAGGGAAGAAAAAGAAAATGTTAGGGTTTTGTTTTGGTGGCTCCATTAATTCTTCAAATAATTCTTTGATCTTCAAAAAAATATTTTGAGTACGAAACCTTCTTCCCTTGATTTATATTTAATTCGTTGTTTTTGTTTATTTATTTTTATTAATTTGATGTTGAATTGATTTCATATTTGCATGTAGATGATTGATCGATTTTAATTATTTTGATTAGTTGTGTATGTAAGGTCTAGGGTTTTTAGATGATTGATTGATTTTAATTATTTTGATTAGTTGTTTATGCAAGGTGCAGGATTTTTATATGGATTTATTTTATGGTTGTAATCACACTCATGGATATATGAAATTAAAATAAACTTAGAACCCATAGATAAATTTCTTATACTCCACCATGACTCCATGGATTGTTGTTTTATGGTGAGAAAGAGTGTAAAAAAAAAAGTGAGGATTATGAGATTTATTTGAATGCCTTAGGCTTGGCATTGTTATGTTTGTTCTCATAAGTGAGATGTTTTGTATATATATATATATATATATATATTGTTGTTTCGTTCTCATGAGTAGACAAATGTTTTGATTTATACGCGTACGTATATACAAACCGTCCGGGGAGTGTAGGTCAAACTCGGGACGATATCCCCATGCAAGTTTGGCTTCGAAGCGGTGTTAGGTATACAGGAGGCACATGAGATATATGTGTAGGCCGGAAGTGAAGGGCCGAAGTGGTGGAGTTAAGGTACAAAAAATTTAATTATGAGTTTGTTGGTATAGTGTGAATTGTATTAATTTATACATATTGAAAAATAGTAAACGACCTCGATAAATTATGAAATTTGAGCAGAGGCATGTATACGTGATTCTAGACAACTTTTGTGTTTTATCTTTTTATTAAAAAGATCAATTAGAGAACTTGTAATCAGATAATCTTGGTTACAATAGTTTTTATTCATTTTAGCAGGGCAGACTTTAGAGGCTGTTTTAACCCACGAAACGAGCTCATTTTTATTGGTTTTGTCTAAACTGAAGTAAAACATTATTCTGAACACTTTTTGTGTTTTGAAATTTTCCAAAAAAAATCATCTTACAGCAGTTTCTTTTCATTTTCAGTTCCAGATTTTTCGATCGAATTTCGGTTAGGATTTTCTATTAAGTTTTTCTCTTAACCTGTTTAGTGTCTACTAAATTCGTTAGCGTTACCCTTTAGAAAATTTGATTATGTACAACTTTTGTTCTTTGAGTTTTGGTCAATTCAAATTATTTAAATATGAAACGGTGCATTTTTATACTTCTTTAGCAAATTATTTATAATTAAATTATACTAACTTTATTTTTTTTGCAGGATGGTGGGTCTTACTAACTTTTTATGCAGAGCTGACCTACCATATTTTTATTTCTATTTTGTTTATTTCATACTCAATTTATATTTTGTTGTGTACGGGTAAGAAACTAAACGCCACTGTATCTCGAGAAACTATCCATTCATCTTGGTGCGGATGGAACTATTTGTCTTGTCCCATAACAAGAATTAAATGTGTTTTTGTCTGTGTCTGGTGGACACATGGGTGTTAAATCTTGTACTCATACCAGTATACCTGTATACTGACCCGTTTTGTCTCTTGGCAACTCGGGTGCGTTCTGTTTGAGCGTAACCGAGCTTCTTTTGCAAGATTAGTTGGGGCTACGGTGGTGACGTGGAATAACTATAGTTGTTGGACATATCGTTTGGACTTTTTTTGTTTTCTTGAGCTTAAGGTTGATATTAGTTTATGTATTTACTATTTATTTATTTTTTTGACCTTAGTATTTTGATAATTTGGCATGATTTTTAACTTTACATTATTTAAGTTATTTTGACTATTTATTGTTACTTTAATATTGGATGTATTGGTTAGTTATAAAATTATGGTGGATAGTTTGGTTGGCGTTTTATTAGTTTTTTTTTTTTATTTTTTTTTTATATATACCTTGTAAACTTTTGAGGATGGAAATTTACTTAAACCCTTTAGAGACGTGAACGTTTAGATTTTGTTTCACCCCTAAGATTTGGATGATGGAATATTGATTGGGGTTTATTCCTAATTTAATATTTAATTGTCAAAATTTTGGGGCATGACAGATACAGATTCTGAGAGCAAGTGATCGATCAAAGAAAAGAGGTGGTTCTGTTGTAGGACATAAATACATACATCGTGATAGAAGGAAAGGAAGGGTCATGATTGATTGTTTGCGGATTATTTTGCGACAAATCCAGTTTATTCACCTGCAACATTTCGAAGACGTTTTAGAATGTTTCGTCTGCTGTATCTGTGAATTTTGGATGCCATTGAAGCACATGATCCATATTTTGTTCAAAAAAAAGATACAGCTCATATCCTCGAATTGTCTCCACTTCAAAAGATGACTTCAGCAATTAGAATACTCTCATATGGAGTGGCAGCAGATGCAGTTGATGATTATGTGTGAATTGGGAAAGGCACGGCAATTGAAAGTTTGAAACACTTTTGCAATTCAATAATCAAAATCTTTGGATCC